AAAATGCTGGGACTAGGGGTATGTGAGTGGGGCTACATAAGCTACTTTTGCCAAGAAGCCAACTGACAAAGGACTCTAACCAGTCTATCTACAGGGCCATGATTGTGGTTGTTTGGTGCGATGCTGGGGAAGCGACAAGAGTCAACCGGATAAGTCAGGCATGATCACACATTACCACATGACTCGAAGGCTCTTAAGATGCTGCACAAGATCAAAGCCAGGGTAGGTAACGTCGGTGACCTTTTAAATCTTTGCCTCAACAATTCATACAACTGGATCCTGGACCCACTGATTCTCAGACTTTAAAAGAGAAATTAGAATTTGCAGACGAAAATAAACTCAAGAGTGCTCTGGGAGTTCAGCAATAAATCTTTCCTATTTTCGTGCAAAAGTGTGTTTTGGGTGCTAACTTCAAGTAACAACGCGGAGTCGGCTAATAAGCGCAATCACAACGTGAAGGCTCTGAGCGCATATGTTAAATCGATTCCCCGCACCCAGGGAAACAGAATTCAGAGGCATGGTACTAAAATGCACGAATGCTAGATCACCATCAGGCTAGTTAACAAGACCCGTCCTGAAACTCCGATGATACAACACTCGGGCGCAAATCTTCCAAACGATTTCCGAGTCAGTTACGAGCATGACATCAGTTTAGATGGAAGAGGGCTACACGGGCAAGGTAAACTTGATTTAAAACAACCTAAATGGGTCCTTAGACTAGTTCCGTTAAATTAAAACCACGCGGAATACAATTTGCGCGCCCACACCGACAACTGTGATAACTGCTTGCACTAATGCGGGACTTTGAGCAATAACAGCCATAACAGAGACAAACACAAGGTCTTTTCCGAAGTACGGGGAGGACTTGCCGATTGAACGACCGCACAGACAGAATTTCCCGTGGTGAGCACGCAAAAAAGCCAAAACATGGCAGACAGGCAAGCAGGAAGACAACTCTTACCCTCAGTCGTTTTTCCAGTTTTGGCAGTTCACAGCGCAGCTCAGCATTGTCATGGAGCAGCTGTTTGTGCACCTTAGTCAGCTTCTCCAGGTTATTCTCCAGGAAGGCAATCTTCTCACGTTGAGCCAATGAACCCCAATGGCAGGAATCATCGTCATCATCGGGGCCAAGGAGTTCGTCTAGACCCTGACTGGCTGAATTGCTCTCCTGGTTGGCAGCAACCGCTGCGGCTGAAGCGCTCATCCTGCTTGTCGACTGTCGTGAAGGAGAAAATAAAGACAGACTGTTGCAAAAGAGGCATAGTTAGTTAATAGTAAAATGGACTTTCACTGCATCTATCTCAC